CGAAAATCAAATTGAATCGAGGTCTGGGTGAATCGTTGCAGCCCTACAGCTGGGTAATGAATGGCTCCCTAAGATTTCATTTGATATGTTGTGACAGTACAGCGATGACCTAATAAACTGTCCTGTCAACTATTGACACCTGGTTTGTTTATATTTACTGGAAACAATATGACGTATGTCCTCCATATTACCATGTACTGTAAAATATATATAACATTTCGTGATATGTTAACATCACTTGCTTGATGATGGTTTAAGATCTACACCGAAATGTTGCATCTATTGCAATTAAGAGGTTGTCAGTCCATACAAAATGTTCTTCTTCATCCTACCAGCTTCTAAATGCCAGCTTCTTGATCTTATCAGACTGTTGGGTAATTTATAATGGTTAAGCCAAATCATGATATTGAAATGTTTAGAAAGATTAACAGTGAACATTTTGACCGCTTAAAAGTTCAAATTTCATCTAAAAAAGCAAACATAATATGTATATGAACACAATTAAAGCCCATGTAACACAGCTCACTGATGATTCACACGAATCAATGAATCTCACTTATGATTAACACTAATAACAAATTATTCATTTTCCCAAAAGACTTCTGCCCGTATCCCTACTTAAATTTCATTCTAGTCAAATCATATCACCTGAATTTATATTCCTCATCTGATAAGGATGATTTTTGTATCATGTTTCTTTACCGTGCCGTACCATGTTTTCGGGGTATGTCTTTTTCCCGTAATTTCTCGTGTACAGAGAGATGACAGCGCCACCTGTAAACACCGTCTCCAGTGCAGAAGCTTCTGTGACAACCGGGACACAAAATGTTTGAAATATCCAGCTTTCATGTAAGTTGTGACTTAAATTTCTGTCAAAGTACTAAAATTCTACCCTAGAACGTAATGCACTTTCAGAACCTTCATAAATGTGATCATAACTTTTGAAATAAAGCTCGTAACTTGTCAAGCGGACCATCGTCTGCTAGAGTGAAAAGCCAAGCATAAACATCACGTGACTCTAATGGAATGTTGCCGACGTAATAAAAAAACTATGGAAGACCGAATTGGTCATCTCTTACATATTTTTTTTTCCGTGGTGCAGAATTCGTCTCGGCTTGTGACCACTGGGTTCATTTAAAATACTGCTGCGATGTCACTGTACTGCGCAGACAAGAAGTGTTTTATCATGTTTATTGTCCCTGCCATGGCGTGCCAAGAAGAATGAATGTGCACATGATTGAATAACTTACCTGTAAATATGTTTATTTTTAACAATTTTCACAAAAAAACACTCAAATAATCAAGAAAGAAATGACCAGTTTGCTTGACTTTTCATCAAAATGCCTTGTATTTGTTGACTTCTTGGGAGAAGAATGTATCACCTGGGCTTCCATACAAGGTCGTGACCCACGCTATAACGAGTAATCCGAAAACATGGTACGTCACTTCTCCCGCTCGCGCTGGCGGACAGACACAAAATGTTCGCTGCATTGGAAACCAGCGGATGACAGAACATTCTGACAATAAATTTATGAAAGGTGAGATGACATTTAATTACGGAATTACAGTTTTGATAATCTACTGATACGCAATAATTTACATGATCATCTTTTGCGTTATTACCCTGAAAACACGTTACACCATGGTAATTCTATCTGAACATACTGAAAGACATCCAACTTCTAAAAATGCCACTCAAATACATTTTTCCTCATCGTTAAAATTTAGGGGGGATACGGGCGGAAGTCTTACCCTAAAAATTTTAGTAAATATTCCAAATATGAAATCAGTACTCGATAAAGCCACAACATCGAACAGAGACACGTAATACTGCTAAATAAATACACTGTTGTTGGTGGAAATAATTAAAAAACTGATGTTAATTGTGACGCATCATGCAGCAAACTGAATAATGATCATAGACGTATTGATCATGAATAACTGTCACCCTGTGCTTGAGGTGCTTGAGGTGCATCAAATTCACAAAAGCAGCAACTCTTAAACATGATATTTTACAAGAGCTTCATGATTGTGAATCTTGTAATTTTACATTACAAAACAAAGGTGTGCATTGATTCACTTTCACTAAAAACCTCATCATAAAACTTCTACTAGAACAAACAATGTCGGCATCTGAAAAACATTGCAAGGATTTTACCTTTTATTTGATGAAACTTGAGAGAACGAAGTAGGTAATCTTCTTCCGAGCTAAGAATCAACAAACAAAATACAACCCAAGGGAGGCTACTCTCGCCGGAAGTAGGGCACCTGTTTGGTCTTTCAAGTGTATAAATAGGAAAAAGGAAACGAAAGCGGATCAAAATTCATTTTGTGTGAACAATTCTGTTAATTAATTAAAGAAAATAATATTTGAAAGAAATGCCTGCTTTTTTCATAATCAAAATAATATCTTCACTCGAATCGCTGTAAAAAAAATTGAATCAACTGGAACTGTATATTTCTGCGAGAAAGCCTGGACATTTGTGCACAATGGCCCGGAGCTTGTCTGTCTCACAGTCCCTTAACCGTATTTCTTCCCCTTCCGCCAAGCCCTTTCTGCAATACAAAGCCCTAAAATGAAGCAGTCTAGATTTCACTTTCCTTCTCATTGGGGATCCATTTCAATTTAAAAGGAAATTATCTTGTTTCTATCAAAATTATAAAATACAGAAACTAGGTGTCAGCTTAGCCTGAACGCCATGAATAAATAAAGTGTTAATCTCTGCATGATACTACTATGACGTCATCTAATGGCACCGCGGTCAAACGTGTAACAGCTGACTGGTGTGACTGAAGATATATATGTTTCATTCTAGCCGTTGTCCAGAAAACATTAAAAATGCGGATTATTGCAAACTGAGACATGACAACCCTCTCCCTCGGGTATTTGTCATATTACAAGAGGCAGTGTTCTTTGAGATTTGGACGCATGCGTCCACGATGTAATAAATGATGTAAATAAATACGTTGTTAACGCCACAACAATATTCCCAGCATACTACCGCGAGCTCTTAAACAATAAGTGGACGCTTTTACGCTGCTGTTCGCAATATTCCAGCAACATCATGGTGGGGGACACCAGAAACGGGCGTCGACACATTGTACACATATGGGGAATCGACCCCGGGTCCTCGACGTGGTGAGTGAACGCTTTAACCACTAGGCTACCCCACCACTCCTATTATATATTTTGGAGTCTGAGGCAGACAAACCAGTTATTTATAGCATAAGCCGCGTCTCCAGCTGTTTTACTTACCAAGATCTAAAGTCTCTGACCAAACTTCCCTGCCATATAGATTTAAAAACGTATATCTCGAAGACACATATAAGAAAACGAACGAACGAAAAAAGATTATGAAAACATGAAAACTTGTCTGACCGACGATCTTTACCGGGTATTGATGTTCTTATTTCATAGATGTCGCTTAATGAAATCGGGGAACATCATCGTTAATTTTCACAACAAATAGTTTGCGTTTTCCCGAAAAAAAGGAATATATTTGCAAGACTTCTCTACTAAGGTCTAAAACACTACACATATACATCCATATATGGCGTTGCCAACAAAGTATCTTCGGTCTAAAATAAAAGACGTCTTTCGGTCGTAGTTGGTAGTTGTTAAATGTTATCATTACATGCATCGATCCATTACTGGTCTTTCAGATGGAATAGATAAACGAATGTGAAGTGCTCTCTCTATATATATCATGTAAGCACCAGGGAAAGAAATACAATATTATTTTTTATTTGAACTTGGATAACATCTTGTATTATCCTTAACGTTTAAGAATTGCGGGGGCGGGAGGGTAGCCTGGTGGTCAAAGCGTTCGCTCGTCACGCCGAAGACCCGGGTTCGATTCCCAACATGAGTACAATGTGTGAAGATCAATTCTGGTGTCATCCGCGGTGATATTGCTGGAATATTGCAAAACGAGGCGTGAAACTACACTCACTCACTCACTTGACCAAGACATGTGGATAATAAATGATGACAGAGACTTGAGACATCAAGACTCAAGCGTTGCGGCAATATTCTACGGATGACGTCATACACTTATACTGACTAATGCTCAGAAATTACTATCCTACATGCCTCATATCAATCCATTCGAACATGTGTGAAACGAATGACAGCCTGTTGCTGTAAAACGTTTTGACGGCACAATGGATACTTGTTTGTGTCATGGTGACCTGCGTTTTCTTCCGGTCAGAAAGCGCCACCTTTTGTATCGTTCAGCGACATACGTTGTAAAGTTTTGACAATATTGACCATACAGAGATTATAACCTCAGTTTAGGTATATCCTACTGAAACTCGATTATAATACCACTTCCCGTATCATGTATAGAGTCTATACGTAAATATTCCCAGAAAACTATACCCTTTAACTGCTGGAGATTACGATTAACGTAAGAAGTAAGATTAAAATGTGGTATAAAGAAACCATGGCACATTTATATACACGTGTCTATCTTTCTTAACACCAGTAAATCCATTAAAGAAAACGGGAAATGAACTAAATACATCATAACTAAATGACGTTCAAAATAACTAAACAACCCAAGTTTAATTCAATAATTCTGATGACGGTAATGTGACGTCAGATTCAGGTGAAGAATCAAACGCCTACGTGGGCTTTAAAAATCGTTTTCCTAATGGGCATTTTTCTTGTCACTTTACAGATTTGTCTAGAAAATTTGAAACTTTTAAATTAAAAAAACCCGGAGCGCTCCCCAAGCCCCAATCATAATAATGACTCAGAGAATAGCATCTATCGTATTGCTTCGAAATTCCAATGTTATGCACTAACACATTCCAAAGAGTCTTACTTGCGGGACGCACCTCCTTTGTCTACTAGGAGTTACTTCCCCTTATTCATATTTCGGGCTAATTTGTAATTTATCGCGTGTTGTGCGTCACAATTCAAGCAGTGGAGTTTCCCTGTGCTAATTGTCTTTCGCATATACCTATATACACATCAAACGGTACACGTTTCTGAAATTGTTGCACATCTCGCATTTCCGGAAGTGCGCGTGAGGTGTCCGCCATGATTCTATTGATCCCAGAATAGAGGAAATAGTCTACTGTCAGATAGATCAGAACATAACGTTTCCCGGCTTTTGCCAAACGAAATTGGACTTATGCAGTCATGAGCTGGGGAACTGAGTTATGGGTAAGATGTGATTTAATCATGATTTCTACTTCTGGAGGATTTTACTGGTATTTTCCGACAACGTCGCGTGTTTTCATCGATGATGAAGACAGTCGCGTCTCGGTGAGACGCATGCAAAATGATCATGGATTCGTCATCTGATTATCAATTCAACATGCAAATCAGGTCGATGCGTTTGAAAATTGATATTGTTTCTTTCATATCGTGTACGTATGGAAACTATATCGGTTTTACACTTGATGGGCCCGTTTGTGTATCTACTATGTTCTTCGTTCGCATAAAAACAATATTGTCTGCTGTCAGTTGAAGATGGGCTCAGACGCAGAACCAGTCTGTAGCAGCGATGTGCGCTATTACCACTGCATGTCACATTGAAATACAACATTCTACACACCTATCATACATACACAAATATTTCCTACTTACTCAACAGGTCTGTTTCATTGTTTAGAAAGTAAACTTTATGTTTGTAAACATGATAAATAACAAACAGTGGGTCCAAACAGTTACTACTACAGAGTAAGAAAGAAGTAAAGGTTACTGATTTGTATACATCTCTTGTTTAAAAAGTTGTTATTGCACACATACTACCAGTGTTAAAGTATAAATTTGGATAAAATATTCATTGATTGTTAATGTATTCATAATTCAATTGATTTCGTTGACTATTGATGCTATAATGTAGATACTGTTTTTGGTTCCTGTTTTGTTTGTTGGGTGTGTGTGTGTGTTTTCATCTAGCACATCTAGGGTAGCAGTTCAAATGTGGCCACAGAATTGCCTGTAATAATGTCTACTATCTCTTGTTCTAGGTCATACATCAAGTGAATGTTAGTCACACAGATTTTTCATTTAATCACACAAGACACATTTGTAGTCATCACATTTTGACCAACTTGTTGATTGGATTCTTAATTAAGAAAGTTAGAGGCTGGTAATTAGTGTGGTATAATATCACATAATGTTTATTGTGTATTCGTCACAGATCAAATGCCAGTGTTTGCTTTTCTAAATAGTTGATACATTTTGCCATAGATAAGCAAATATTCATAAGTAGCAACGTAGTCAAATGAATCTGTTGATTTGTTTCTCATTTTGTGTGTTATTATCTGGTATTTAGGGTCTCTTTACAGTTGTTTATGTGTTTGATTTAAGTTGGTTATCAAACAATTTGCCTCAAAGACTTATACACCTGCTTACAATGAAGGGAGATAACCTGCGTGTTCTTACTGTTCTTACTTCAAGAAATATTCATACACTATGTATATAAATCAACATGATTTATGAAACAATGTTTAACTTGATCGTGATAGGTTTTACTATAACTTGAAATCACTGATAATATGTCTGAGTGCTGCTTTTGAGAAATGTCACATTGATCATTTTAAAGAGTTTAAGCGGCTATATTTTTAAAAAGACCACCTATTTTGTTAGATCTATCACATGTTAGATCTATTATTGGGAGCTTAACTGATACATCAGACAAGATCATAACATGTGTGCAGAAGATCATGCTCAGGTACAGCATTAATGGCACTATAATTTTTCAGTATGTTCCATGTACTCTGACATGTTCTCTTATTGAAACATTAACCAGAGTGGAAGCATGAAAAGTCGTTACTGATAAGCAAGCTTTTTCACCTCACTGCATAGTGTTTTGCAAGTAGTCAGTAGTGATTCTACAGTTTTCCTCTTTTCCTTTTCAGCATTATCACAGGTATTTGTTATCAGGGATGAATAATATTGGACGCTATTCACTATATCATTTTAACACTGATATATCAACAATCTGAAAAGTAGTCACCAACCTTTTTAGTTTACATTTCTTGAAGTAGATTTGTTTGGCAGTTAGCTTTAGTCAGTCATGCAGTGACATTTTGTGTTATTTACCCAAGGTTAACTTTCCTGATGCCACCATGTAAAGTGTTTAAGCTTTCAGGTTCCCAGACTTTTTGTCCCTTTCTTATGTTGGTTTTCACCTGTGCTTTTGGGTGTGTTTTTGGAGTAATTGCTTATTTTTTTACTTGTACCCTATTATGTTTCCTACAATTGGGGTCCTAGAAATGACCAGAGCATGCGAAAATGCTATGTCCCAAAATATATGATTTTGACCTATATTCTTCTTGACTTTGACATTTTTGATTATTTGATGGTCCAAATATATTTCATTTTGCACTTAAACATACTCTGGCAGCAAAAATCATTGAGAAAACTCAGGTTCTTTGAACGTGTTCAAGCGCAATATGACCAGACAATATAGTAAGTCATTACTTGACCATGTTGACTGTCATGTTCTTGCAAGATCAAGTTAAGGTCAGTCATAATCATTCAACTGATGATGAACATTACAGTTGCTTATATAGGTAGTGTTACCTATCCCATTTTGTCAGTTGAAGGAAAAGTAAAGACTGGAGGTGCACAGCTTGACATAACTGAGATGATTGATAGCGTGACCTCACCCATAAGACACATAGGCCCAGAGCAAGTATGTAGCTGGCCTCATTATGTCTAATAGGTTCAGCAATGGAGTCCCACTGTTGAGTGGATGTATGTGTAGAGCAAGTTGATGTGCTACTGCTCTCCTTATTAGTACATTTGTAAACACCACATGGCAAAGGTCAAATAAATGAATGATCATATGCTTTGTATGTAAGAAAGCACGAAAGTTGAGGATTTAATTTAATCTTAGTTGGCTTATAACAATTTTGGCCTCTTTTTCAGTGTACAGGGTCCAAATTTAAAAAAAAAAATTATTCAGAAATTGTAATTTCAACTTTTGTACTATTGGTAATAATTGATAAACAAGCACAATCAAGTGTGGCAAGATATCAGTTGGGTTTGTCGTTAGTGTTTTTTTAATTGTTAACATAAAAAAATTATATGTATCACGTCTTGTACAACCAGCAGTGATAAGATCTCATGTTTTAGTTTTCTTTTTTTCATTTCATCTAATTGCAGAACAGACAAGGCCAAAATGTTCTGAGTCAAAAGTCATGGGGTTTTTTTTCTAATTTTAGTCACTCTTGTAAACCAACTGAATAAAATATGCGCCTTCAGTGAGTCATTGTGGCAACCCTCATGTTAAACGTAAAGATGGGGGGCCTTACTTTCAGATATTTGCAAGAAACTACCATTAGTACCAGGGCCCAAGTATTCCCTCATTAATTGTAAACACTGACATATTTACATCTGTGACCTGAATTTCCTATACAGTCCTAAAGTAATGGGTTCCTTATATCTAGACATGACCTTGTTTTGACACTGTTTCAGTCATTCCAAATGTAAAGAAACATCTATCTTAAAGCTGCATATTCCTGTGCATTATGGGTTATTTTACAGGACTACAATTAAAACGAATATCTATTCAACTACAGCAATTGATTTAAAAATCAGAATGAATGTATATAAAAATTACTTAACACAGACACATTTTGATTGTGGTTCACAGGAAACTCAGAAAGATTTTCATGTCTAAACATCTTATAATGAAAACTCAAATGAATTGTCCATGACTTTGTTATTGAGTTGAGTGGTGTGAAAGTAGCACTAATCTTTATCATGGTTATTAAACAAAATGTAACACCAGAAAAATACTTGCATAAAATAGTGTTGATTTACAGAAAATGTATTATTAGACAATGCCTTTTGAAATAATCGTCAGATGGTTGCAATCACATTCTGTGTAGCTGACAAGTTGCTGAGTGGCGGTTATGTATACACTGTAATATCAGTTATTTTGAGCTGTTGGACTCATTGTCTGAATAATTAGTTGCACTTAGGCCATCAGCAGGCAATTATCTGAGGGTGTGGATTGTCATTATGTGTAGTTATCGTCCTGAATGAGTCCTCAGATATGATAATAACTTATGAAATGTTACATAACATCCCTTAGAGATGCTTACGATAGCACAAACAATAGTCACTTGCAGTGTTGAAGTTGAGGGGGTTTGGGTCCTTGAGACTTTCATCCATGGTATTTGAATCTGGAGATTCCATAAAACTGTAACCTTTATTATATTATTCCACGTTTGAAAGGGATGAATCTCAGGGATGGCAATTTTCCGCGGATTTTATTTCAAATTGTTCAATTGTGAATCGTCTAAATCCATTGAGAAACCCCCATTCGATGACACAATATTAAGTTCTGCGCTGAAAATAGATTTTCCTGTTGCCATCCCTGGATGATTTATCTTTTATACACGAAGCTAATTATCATAAAATGTAAATTGTATGTGTAAGTATAATTACATATCTGATTATCCTTGTCAAGAGTTGAGTGGTATATTAGGGATGTGCCAAGGAACTGTTTACTTTCATGCTAAATTTCAGAGCATACGAACACAAGAATTAAATCTCTTGCCTCGTAGGTCCAACCATTAAAGTGAAAAAGGCTGTATGGCTTGTTCTGCTCCATTCACTTTGTCTCGAATATTGTGATTAATATTTCCACATGTGGCACACGCCTGAAAATATCACTTTAACAATGAGAATATCATGAATGTTTAACCACTGAATGTATAATGATTGCTAATGAATGTAACTGGTCAGTGGGCATTTTGATATGCATGAAGATATAGTGTGTCATAGGGGAACATAAAACTGGTTTCTGTTGCATTCAGTTTGTGGCTTCCTACATATCAGTAAAGTTTCTGAAAATTCTCTGCCAGATCTTTTTTTACCCTTGGGAAAAGCGTTTACTTTGAGGTCTGTCACCCTGTCAGACTGTCATGCTAACCCATAACAAATATATCCAACATACTTATGCAAGTCTGTGAAAGTAAGCAAGTCTAGTTTGTTGCAGTTTTGTGAAATTGAGAAGTCTGCGCTCCTTTTCTTAGATTAAGTTAAGATAATTTAGCAACTTTTTTCTGTAAAATATTTTTAGTTTAGTTTATCACCATGTCAAAATTGTAAGTGTTGGTAGACTTCATTTGCCAGACAGTGGGGCACATTAATGTGATTGAGTTAAAATTTGCATTGAAATATTTTCTACAATTTTT